TTTGTCAAGCCTAACCAGACACAGCTCTGCACTTAGATCCGAATGGATTCCTGAAAGTATACAACATTATTGTGCCTTAGGATTATTTGTCACATTTTCCAGCACTACATGCTACATCTGGTAGTAGCTTCAAACACACTTTTGTGTGAAATCTGTCCAAAGGTTTGTAATTTTGAGCAGATTTCCTCTTGTCTGACAAATATTCAGGGACTCCTGGGAATTCATCAATGTAATCCTTTGATACAAATACAGTTTAACAATAAAGCAGCTTTATTATTTAATCTCAATATCAAAATGAGTTTGTCAGTCATGACTTTGAGGACACAGAGTCCACTAACTGCATTTCCTCCCACAGGTTATTAAAAAGATCTTGGCTGTAGAGATGGGCCATGATTGTAAGCGCTTAATCACCACTTTTGGAACGAGAAATAAAACATGGCATGATACACAACGGTACTTTTATATACACTCTAGAGTAGCAGCAGGACTAAATCCATATGTAGCTTTTAAAGGAATCGATAACATTTAAAATCAATTTCAACATCAACAGGAAGCCAAATTATGGAAGCTCAACACAGTTGTTCTATGAATAGTTAAACATTTCAATATATCTGTAGAATGATTTAATACCTGACATTGATTATAATGTGTATGAAAGACTGACTTAGCTTCCAGGTCTTTAACCTGGATTCTATCTAATGGCCAGCAGGCGGCGACTCTTGTGGCTGAAATGATATCAGATTATTATCAAAGTCGTTGGGTGAATGACCCTCCAGCTCCCTTCATGTATGACTTCAGTAAACACTTTTTTTTTAAGTCTTTAGAAATTGAAATGCCAGTTTGACTTCTTACTGAATATAACATGATGCTCATGTTGTGTTCCCTGTGAGAGTCAAACAGTGTGTACTGTGCATGTGTGCTTGCAATTGTGCATAGTGTTTTGGGTTTTTTTGTAATAGCAAAGTGACTTGAGCGAATGCCCTCTGGTTAACGTTGGCGGTCCGTCCAGTTTACATGGTCTTCTGCCGATCCTGCATGAGCATGTACTGCTCTTCGATTTCTCTTTTAGCTCCACCCCCTGCTTCTTATGACTGATTTTGATTTGCAGGCTTCACAATTCCATGATTGTAATGGTGGGCAACTATGGACCTGTTTACAAATTTACATTTAATTTAAAATTTGTGGGTCTGTCAAGCAGAATCCGGTGCTGTGATCCTTCACCAGTTGAAAAAAAACAATCCATTACAAAACAACCTGAAAAGATCTGAAACATTAAAGTCATCTATCAAAGCTAAATGCCAAATTATTTTCAGCTTCAAGTCTCGGGATTTGTTACTTTTTCTGTTTCATATCACTTCAAATCTCACATCTTTGAGTTTTTGTGTTGGAAATTCACCTTTCACTGGCATTTAATAAACTCAACAATAATTCAATTAAGAAGGAAATACCTCCAGGCTAAAATAAGAGAACAAAATCCATTATTGGTTGCAGCTATAATCAGCAGCAAATATTTGTGTTTGTTTTCATCCACTCTGAAACCATCTAAATACTGTACTTTGAGTTTGCTGTACATACAGCAGTGCTTTCGATTTATGAATGACTTTCAGCAGCCAAAGAAACGACACTGCTTTGGTGTTTGTTGTGATCAAGCTTTGCTTTTATAAGTGCATTCTCCACTGGGCACATGCTCACACAGCCTTTCAAGGTACTTGGCAGGAAGGACGTTTCATGAATCCTGCAGAATTTCAGTTCAGTGGCTGAAAACAGCTCTTTGACATTTTTGTTTCTACATGAGTTGAGCTTCAACAGTTTGTCTGTTTGATTTTTCTGACCAAAGTCTGGTAATTTCACAAAAATCTGCTGCTGGTACAAAAGCACATTTGTCATCACAGGTCATCATCATTACCTGCCAACTGAACTATGAGCACAGTTTTTTCCTTCACTATGACATTTGTAAGACTCAAAAGAAAACAGTCTTTTCACGGTCACTGGAGCCAGAGAAGAAACACCTCCAGTACTGTACGAAATCCTCCACATCCTCCAGTGTGTCGAGTCGGGGAGTTCATTTCCTCTCCCAGCCTAATGACCCAAGTGGATTCTTCTGACTTTTTTTGCTACATCAGCACTTTCTCAAGAGTTCCCAGAAGGCAAATGAGATGTAACCTTTACAGATAAATTAATAATGAGCAAAGAGTTGCAGCAGCAAAGGGAAGCTACTGTTAAGGCCCTTTAAACAAGCACTTATGACTCAAAGCTTCCATTTTCCACTGAAGAACCACTTCAACCTTTCTATGATTGATAACTTACTTCAACATATTGCTGGGAATTACTTCAGTTTGTTGAAGGACAATTTAACATTGCAGTGATGGAAAGAGAAAATTACTGAAACAAATTTAAACTACCCAAAACCTTTGATAGCACCGCCAAGAGTGCGTTATCATTAAGGCTTAACAAATACACCACTTATCTTCTAACTGCACCAGCAGTTAGAGTCCAAATGATGGACCGTCTTTAGTTTTCTTCATTTTCAATTCAGATTCACAACAAGTAAAAATCCTGACTGTCTTTAAACTACCTGAGTGATGTTTTTACGTCATTCTCCTAAAGGATCCTGGCAGTGTATATCTTCTAATTTACTATTTTAATTGTTAGTCAGACTCGACACCCCATCTGTCCACTGTGTTAGTGTCTGTTTTATTTACAGAGTTCGCAGTTTTATGGGCACAGTCAGCAACTCTTCTTCCAATAAACTGGACAGTATGTTGAGAAACGGCATCTACTCGCCTAATAGAACCACAGTCTACTGATGCATCCACTCATATAATATTTTATAAGACATTTATATACTAGTGTAACTTTTTTTAACGTAACTTTATTATGCAGAAACAGCTCCACTTTGCCACCCTCGGAGCCAAGTTTTTGGCAATAAAGAGGCATACATTAAAAAGTGATAATATGCAGCAATTGTACATTACATGGATTGACTTCTCCAGTCAGGTCTTATATGTGTACATGAATCAAATAAGTGTTTTTAATTTGTTTTGTCATCTTTTAAATAATTAATGGGGGGCAGTTGGAATATATAACGCACTTCAGGGTTTTGTATGTTTATGATGTCATGTATGGCTGTGCTTTTTAGCCTTGTTAGCAAGCTAACTGCTGTTTTTGGATACATGTTTCTAATGTTGCCTCTGTACATGAGCACGGTGGATTTAAAATCAAAAAATTAAGTTGCGTTTGAAGATCAGATTTTGAGTTTTAATTTACAAGCTTTAACAGAAGTGCAGAATTTACTGTTGAGGAATAACATACGTTTTTATACACAGCACCCCGTTTTCAAAGGCTCATGAGTACTTCGACAATTGATTTTATATGAAAGTTTTATGTCAAGGGGAGGCCTGTTCCCTCGTTATTCCATAAAAAAAACATTCAAAGAAAACTGGAATTGATTCCAAGTGTTGTACAAGTGAACCTGTATTTGGTAGTTGTGTTCAAAAGAGAGGCTGATGCAAGGGAAGGAGGCAAGTATTAGTCTGAAAAACCATTTAAAAACAAACAAAGACATAAAGCCATTTGAAAAATGAAAAAATTGGAAAAATGGTAAATGGCTTGTATTTATATAGCGCTTTACTAGTCCCTAAGGACCCCAAAGCGCTTTACATATCCAGTCATCCACCCATTCACACACACATTCACACACTGGTGATGGCAAGCTACATTGTAGCCACAGCCACCCTGGGGCGCACTGACAGGCCAAATCAACAATCTGGTATATTCCTGAAAAGGCCAGCTCAGCAGCTCAGGAGCACCAAACACCTTCAAAGACCACAGAAGATGAAAATAATTCAAGAACGCTCAAATAGGTAGCCGCATCATTGTCAAGGTCCACAAGAGACGCTTTCGTGAATGGAGACAACAGAGTGCAAACTTCTGATTGCACTTAAGAACTATCAGAAAATACACTTTTATTAAACTTCCTGAATTAAAGTTGAAGAGCTGCACTTTAATTGCACCTTGATTGGTTAACTTAAATCCCACTGCGGTCATGCCACAAAAAATGTGTCACTGCACAAGAACTAATGGACCTACCTATAAACCCCACCACCTGACAATGCAGACAATACTGCTACAACAATGCTTCAGTTTGAATAATTATTTCTGTGTAGCATGGAAATGTTTCACACACGGGGTAAGAAAACACAGGGTAAACACACCAACACCACAAACTTCTGGCATGTCAGAAGTCATGATTATGTGATCACTGCTGTGTCCAAAAATATTGTTTGTGTTGCCTTTCTGCTACTCTCACCGTCACTCCGAGTGCCTGACTCACAACAACAACAACACAATATCATTTGCTTAAACGCACTACTATTTCTCACTTGTTTTCTTGTGTGATACTGCAGAGTAATCAAAGAGTAATTATTGCAGCTCTTCACAATCTCTGAAGCATACAATTGTTGTCTGCAGTTTTAAATTGACTAAGAGGCACTTACTCAGACACTTCTTTTAAGCCACTTTTTGGCAGAATCTTTTTTTACTTGTCAAAGTGAAAATACACTAAAACTTTTTTCTGAGACTGTTGAGAAGCACTCAAATGATTTAAATCTACATCCTTAAAGACTCTGCAAACTAAATCACTAAGTGAATGCACAACAGACAAGAGCATGCCGCTCCAGTAGATTTAGTAGGTTTTCTCTCAAATAAATTCCAAAAGTCACTTAGGTAACGTTTCTCTACCTAGAGGAAGTGAAAAATTCAAATACGACAACACAAATCTGTTTAACAAGCAGCGAGGTTTCTAGAGAGATAGATGGATTCACTAACATTCAGTCTTTTATCCTCAGTGTCCCTTTAAAGCAATCAGAGAGCAGCAGAATGGGTTAGCGCGTTAGCTTGTGCATTCATGCTTTACATGCGGATCCACTGTATGTAAGTATGGCTCTCTGAGGGCCAACATCTGTTACAATATCTACCCGTGTTTCACTGCACTTACTCACCTTCCCATGAATCTTTGCACCCAGGGGGAGTCTTCGTGTTGCTATAGAGACCAGAATACAAAACATTGCTGAGGAGAAGGCAACGGCAGCAAACACGAGACCCCAGGAGAGGCTGCAGAAGTAACAGGAGCTCCCAGCAGATGTGCACACCAAGACGTGCACTGAGGCAAGAAGTAGGCACAAGAGGTAAAAAGGCAGGGAGAGCAGGGCTGAGAGGATGGGGAGGTCCACTGCTGCGGCACTGCTGAGGGCTTCAGGCATAGCCAGCAGTAAGACCAACAGGAGCTTAAAGGCCAGGAGAGACAGAGAGGAGAGAAAAAGTCTTTTACAAATCTGATGCAATCATTGTAATCTCCAGTTTTATAACCTCCCCAATTTATGTGAACAGTGAAGAGCAATTTAATAACAAACATAATGCATGCATGTACACGTTTAACTGATTTTCTAATTGAAAGAGACTTATGATGCTTTTCTCTTATTTTTTTTTTTTATGCAGTCGTGCTAAAAAGGTTTTACAGATCAGGACAGATTAAAAATCATCTGGTCCTCAGTAGGTCTGAAAATTAGGTAAATACAACCTCGGATGAAAAACAGCAAATGATAAATTACACTATTTCATTACATCCATCCATCTGCTTATCTAATTCAGGGTCGCAGGGGGGTAGCCTATCCCAGCTGTCATGGGGTGAGAGGCTCGGTACACCCTGGACAGGGGTCATTATATATTTAAGCAAAAGTGAGCCCAAATTTACAAGCAGTATGTGAAAAACTAAGTGCATCCTTACTGCTTCCTTAAAAGAGTAAATAGCAGCCGTGTACTGATAATCAAACATTTTTTCAGTAAAGGGAGCACCTCTATAAAGTTTGATGGTCTGGAGCTTTTAGATGTGTGTTAACACAATGCCAAACAGCAAAGCCACAGCAGTGGTCTCAGAGACCCAACTGTTGCTCTCCATCCATCTGCAAAGGGTTATAAGGCCATTTCCAAACATCATTCTACAGTGAGAAAGATTATTCCCACGTGGAGATCAGACTGTGCAATGTTCAGAGAAACTGCAAAAAGCCCAAGAGCTCAAACTGTTAAATGTTGAAGTTCATAATAGTACAATAAGAAAAAGATTGAATGAGTAGGTCTTGTTTAGAAAGGTTGCCAGGAGAAAGTCTCTTCTCTCTAAAATAAAGAATTCAGTGTGTGTGAGCTAAAAGCTCAGCTATAAACGCTCATTTCAGACAGTTTCATGGCTATCACTGACATCAGTAGAAGGGGATATCCCTAATATCCCTAAGAAGAAAGCCGGCTTAAAGGGTCAGTGGCCTTAATGGAAGAGGACCTAAAAGAACCAAAACAGACAGTGGATGAACTAATGGGTTGTAGCAAGGCCCAGTACAAGATAAACACAATAGATCCCCCTCTAAAGTAAATCTATCTTAGGACGGCTTCATTGTCACAAATATTTCCACTATCAAAAAGAAAGCATGACACCTGGTGAGGGTTTCGTTTTTACTTTTTGTTGCCGTGCACCTCACTCCCACACTCTAAAGCTGATAAGCAGCACACCAAACTATTACGAGTGCAGATAAAAAAAATATGATGATCCAGTCCTTACCTGAAAGACAAACACCATGCCTGCAATCATGGAGTACATGTCATACTTGCCCAGCTGTTTGCTCAGAGCAGCGCTCATGGCAGCTAGGGCCTCCAGATACTGCCTCAGGACCTTTTTGCCCACGTTGGTCAGCACCTCGGAGGTGTTTCCTTCCAGGTAAAGCTTCATCCAGTTCCCGTGAGCCTTTTCTGCCACACGAAACTGCTCAAATCCCACCTCTGGAGTGGAGAGAAGTGGAAGGGAGCATGTTTTAAAGCACTATTATTTGCAATGCTCCAGCTACTGCAATCTGAATTTCAGGAGGGAGGGAGTGAGTGAGGAGGACATTTATAGCACCTGATTTTTTAACAGTTTATGAGGAATTTCATTAGGTTTACAGTTTGATTCTGACATAATTTCTTGGTTTGCTACCATGTGATTAATCAGGACAAACCTTCTAAAATACAAAAACTAAGTTTTAGCTTTTATATAGAGGAGAAAAACTTTGCTGCCTGGATCTCGGTGACCTAAATGAAATATTCCTAATGTTATAGGATAAACCATTCGCTAACTGTGGGTATTATTTCCTCATAATAATGACCAATTTTTCCCCATATGCTGACATATTAATTAATTACAATGTTAAGCCACAGGTGGCTGATACTGGTACAGCTTGCGGAGTATTTTTACTACGAGCTCATTAAAACCCCAAACTGATCCATGACAAATGTGAAGAAAAGGTTTCATATTGCTGCCTACCCTGTTGTAATTTAGCCAAAAGAAAATGCAGACATATTCCAACTGCTTGTTTTCTTAGCAATGAAACTATTTATGAGTTCATCAATCATTGATGTTGAATTCTGTTTTTCAGAAATAGGAACCTATTAAATTTCATCATTTTCTTTTTCCCGCGTTCTTGTGTCAATAACGTTCGCTAAATTGAAAACAATACGCCTGTGGTAAAACCATTTAGTTTGGAGCAAAGCAATGTACAATTTATCAAGATGCTAACTATGACAAGCTGTGACTCATTCACATGTTTACAGATGAAATTATGCTCCCTTTCATTTTACTTCAGCCTGTTCAAGGACGAAGCAACGTGTAGGCTTGTGTAGAGTTGTGGTATACTTCAGTGAAACACACACACACTACTAAAAACAATCACCTATCTCAGCAGCATAGGCAGAGATGATAAATAGTCACTGTGGCTTTGCCAGACAGAAGGGTTGGTTGAAATATCAGAACTTTAAGCCACAGGCATGAATCATGCAATATCAATGGCCCTGGTCATGTTTCATCTGTCTAAAAGTACAGGGATTGGTTAATGGCTCTGCAAGACGCCTGAGGTTACACGCACACACACACGCACACACACACACACACACACGCACACACACACCCACACACACACACACACACACGCAAACACACACACAAACAAACGAAAACACAATATGAAGATTGAAGCAAAGCAGACAGAGAGAGAGTGAGGCAGAGAGAGTTTCTAAAGTTTGTATCGCCACAGCTGAACTTCATAAAGTTGCAGGTTAAGTCTACTGTAACTCTAATAAATGTGACTGCAAAAACAGAGAACCCCCCCCAAAAATATCATAAAATATTTAACTTAGTGCACCAGACTGAAGCTGAGAGTGGCCGAGCATTATAAATCCTTGCTAAGTTTTTTCTCCAATGAGCTACTTTTTTGTCTTCCTGATGAAACCTCATTGAATACTGAAATCAGAAACGGACAGAAGGCGGATTTCTCCTAAGCAACTCCTCACATGCCCAGTAAAGATTCGACCCTAACAAATGTCCAACAGGCATGCTACTTAAAATAACATCCCCGGCGAATTTCCCAGCAATGACAACTATTACATCCTTTTGCATAACAGCTTCATGATTACCCAAGTGGACGAATACAAAAAAAGGCAACATATCCAAATGTAGGTCTGCTGAGATAATTTCCATTTCATCCCATCTCTATGGAAACCAGGGACCAAAATAAAGTGGAAAAACTGCTGCCAGTGCCGAGTGTTTTTTTTATGTTACAGGAAATAGTAGTCGTTTTGAAAATGCTGCATTTACTTCATGTAGAAGTTTGCTTCGGTTCACCACATCTGTTTTTTTACATGGGCACATTTGTGTACAAAGTGCACAAGGGCTATCATAACATAAATCTTTACACAGGCCTAGAGATTGGTTGGCAACCCCAGGAAACCTCTGATAATTAGTAGAACCCCCCGCAAGTAGGGAGATCCTGTCTGTAGCATATTGCTGTCATCACCCATAGTTTACATGGAGGATGGCAACTTGTCAGCATTTAGTCTCCGGCTTGTAGCTGCGCATTTTAAAGTCTGCTGAATGAAACGGTAAGGCACAACTTTTACGCTGAAGCCAAAAGGTCTCTGTTTCCAGTTTGCATCACACATTTTCACAGTTTCACTATCACTTAGTAAGTAGTTGGCGAGTGTTTGCAGACCCACAGTGAGACTAAAGCAACCTGCTGGCAACAAAAGGCAATTGCAAGAAAGGGGGCCGGGTCGTGGGGGCAGCAGCAGAGAAGCCCAGACATCCCTTTCCCCAACCACCTCCTTCAGCTTGTCCGGGGGAACACCAAGGCGTTCCCAGGCCAGCCGAGAGATATAATCTCTCCACCGTGTCCTGGGTCTGCCCTGGGGCCTCCTCCCGGTGGGACACGCCCGGAACACCTCACCCCGGAGGCGTCCAGGAGGCATCCTTGTCAGATACCCAAAGAAGTTCAGTCATCTGGGAGGGGCTCAGAGTGGAGCCGCTGCTCCTCTACATCGAAAGGATTCAGTTGAGGTGGTTCTCTAAGGGAGAGGCCAGCCACCCTTCGGAGGAAGCTTATATACTTATTTCTACACTGTAGCAACTGCCAGCAACCACTCACCAACTAGTTGTGGAATAACATAGTCTTCTCTTGCGACCAGTGTTTACTAGGGAGTTACTGACATGTCTCTAGGCCTTAGTTCTTCTAGGCCTTAGCAATCAGTTCCACAGTGTCTACCAGCAAACTCCAATGACTGGGGGTTAGCAGATGTCTGCCGACCAGTCTCTAGGCTTGTGTGATTGGGGCCTTAAAGGCCTGGAGCTGAGTCACACTCAGTCCACTGAGATGAGGACACAGCCTCCAGTACATGGGTTGACCAGTAGGGCAACCCAAATATTTTGTGCAAAGCTGTGATCTGATAACGGTCCTTAAATTTAAGAGATCACAAATCTAATAACCTGTTTTTCAGATTTGACATTTCAGAGTTATTTCAATGATGTGATAGAAGAAAAGAAAGATGATAATTAAAATCACTGCAGAACCTCTCTGGTGACACTGGGTGGAAAAAACTATTGCAAGGCCATAAGTGGCCATGAGTTAGTAATGCATAGAAATTGCATAATTAATTCTTAGTCTGTTCACAGAATATAGAATACAAGGGTAAGCACAACAGGGGTTTTTAATCACTGAAAGACAGCAACAATTTAATTTAACTGTATTTTATTTTAATTTTTGAAATTTGAAAGAGTATGCTGGAGAACTTAAGACTTCATCTTATCACAGCCTATAGTGATAACTATAGCCGGTAATTACAGGTTCCAGAGGGTGGTCTTCAAGCAGTTTAGTGGAGAGAAAAGTCATCTAATGCAAAGAAATACAAAGGATCCAAAGTGCATTAGTAATCGCTGTTAAAACAAAAGAAATGTCTTTGGAAAACAAAGCATCAATCATTTAAATTTAGAAATGAAAGCACTTACTATAATCAATTCACATCATCAGGAGTTGCTGCACAGGAGTACCCTATCGACTAGAGCTGTGCAATATGACCAAAATCTCATATCCCAATATAAGACATCTATCGTCCGATAACGATATATAAAATCACAAAAATGTAACATTTTCTGTAAATTCTGTGAATCTCGGGCAGCTCGACTTGCGTGAAGTGTTTCCTGCTGGGTGTCGTGTACCTGGAGTCGAGTGTTTTAACCGATGCATGACATAAGTTATAACGGCTGAAGTTTTCTTTGTGAGTATTTATTACACGGCGTGCTGCAGGGAAAAGCCTGTTTTAATGTTTGAAACTAAGGTTTATTTTTTAGCACATGACGCCTAAAAACAGGCGCTTGTCTGTCCGTAGTGTGGTAATATTAAATATAAGAGAAAGAGAGAACTTTAAGAAATTAATATAACCACTACAGTGACCATCAAAACAATGAAAAAATATTGCCGTAAACTGTTTATTTTGCAACACCACGAAACAAACAATAGCGTAAAATGAAACGATAGACGTTTTTATATCGTCATCCGATATATATCGTTATATCGAACAGCCCTACTATGGACAGCAACTTCCTATGGACATGCTTTTATTCTAAAGTGGAAGAGTAACCTATTTGGTGTTTTCTCGCCAGCTCTAGTGATGTTCTGAACTGCTAGACACCAGAAGCCCGCACCACGAAGCAGGATTTGGGGTCATGCAGGTAACTTCTGGGATAATGCTGCTTTATACACAAAAGCAGGTTATTCTTTACTAGTGTACATCGCTCAGTAATTTATGCTGGAAACCTACTTGTTTTCCTACTCAAGCAGATTACGCTACCTTTGTGTGCAGAGTGCAAGAGTCTAAAGTTTTTTAATAGCATCTGAAGTCTTAGTCTGTCTCTAATGATGATCAGTAGGATATATAGATGCTTACGTGCATTTACAATCCTGTCCTAATTTATTTTTAGCAAAACATTGATTTACAATTTTAAGAACCTATTTGTACATGGTCTAAATTTACACTTACACAGCTGCTGTTGTTCTCAGTCTATATTATGTGCTTTAATATGATAGTTTCTTACTTTATAAAATCAGTTGCTCTGCTATAGATCCTGCTAACCGAAGCCCTTGCATGGGAACGTGCTTTTAGCTAGATTGATAAACCTTGGGTTAACTTTTGGACTACATCATGACCATGAGTTATTAATTTTGTGGCATTAATATTCTTTTACATCTACTGTGTAAAGTAATCTTCATTTAGGATTCAGTTGAGTTGCTATGCAAAATTATATCACAACACATCAATCAGTTGTGCATATATGTTATTGAAAGTGATGGAGTTATTAAATAGTAGTGTTGTCCTTAAACAGTCAGGTCCATACAGTAAGTACCGTATCTGTTGGACCATAAGGCGCATTAAGCGGAACAAAACAGTCAGATAAATCAAACTTTACTCAACTCATTCTTCTTACTTCCTCCACTTCTGTACCTTTGATTCATTAATGTGGAATTCTCTCGCAGCTGCTCTATTCCCATGCTGTTGGAGTATATTAATGAATAACCTTGGAATTGTGGATGGATTTTTGTCCCTAACCATCAGGAACCTTCACGTTAACATTTATCGAGTGGAAAAAAACTTAGCGTTCATCCTCCAGCTTCACTGTGTTTATATTATGCTAGCATAGCTGTGTCGCTAGCGATCACGTAGCACATTATTAAATCCCAGCTAGTGCAACTTCAGTAACCCTACAAACGTCACTGCTGTTTAGTTTT